CTCTGCACCTCTGCACCTGACTGGAACTGGATGGGTGGAAGCTGCCAGCATGGCAGTGGGAGATTGGATCATGGGATGGACTTGTGGGTCTTGAACTTTCAACTGGGTGGGGGAAACCGGGAAGCGTTCAGATTCAGGTTTTCCCAGATGAGCCAATATGGCTCTCTTAATCAATTGGAACTTTGAGCAATACTTTGCCTCGGACTCTGATTTACTTTTGGGTGCTATTTGGAACCCTGACAATCAGGTGGTTTCATGGAGGGAACTTCTCCTGTGGACTGTTTTCATTCTGCTCCATGGAGGTTTAGGGATGCGCCCTGGGTGTTTGGCAGAGACTACGAATAAGTCCTGTGGACCCCAATGTTGCCTTGACACAAAGTTTTGAAACCGACGAGGTATTAAATGAGGTGGATGGGAAGCAAGTTCTTATGGGCAAGAGGACAGGGGACTATGATGGTGCAGATAGGAAGACTCGTCCTTTGGAGGCAGGAATCAGGGAACTTTTATTCGTTCCCTACTTTTGCATGGAGGCCAACCAACCAGCCAGCTCCTGAGGGACAGTCGTCTTCCCCCTTCTAATTCCTTTTCCTGATTGGGGAGTGGGGCGAGATCCAGAATGTCATCTTATTGATCAGGCTTATCGTGAGAAATGGGAGCCACCAACAAAGAAACCTCATTTCGTACTTGTGTCATTCTGAGCAAAACACCACGGAGGTTGAAGCGGGAGGGCACGGACATCGAAATGCAATCTGTTTGCAAGGCTCTGCGGTTGTCATCTCCATGGGAGCAAGCACAATTAGCTTGAGGAAAGTGGTTTCTTGCAGCAGTCAATAAACCCCCAGGAAACATCTAACAGCAATCCTTTGCTGATGTGTTTTCAGCCATAAGTGGCCTTCTGGCCTTCACAACAGCTGGGGTGGAAGTGGCCATGCAGCACCATCTCTCTAGGCCAGTCGCAGCAATTTTTCAGGAGGTATGGACCATCATGTGAGGTCTTCCCCATAAATATGTCTATTTTCCTCCTCCTCCTCCTCCTCCCTCTGTTTCTCTTTCTCTCTATCTCTAATCATTTTCTCTATTTTTTTCTTAACATCAGGTATAAAGTTCTATGCCAATATGCATTTAGGTGTTTAAAAATGGCCAAAATACCACCAATCTTGTGTATTCTCCTTTGAAATCTTCTGACCATCATCCATGAAGAAGCTGCTACATGAGGGGCTTAAGTGGCCCCTCCAGGATCCTGAATCCTCAAAAGGCACCCAGAGCTAACACAGCAGTTTGCAAGATCATAGGAAACTCCCTCCCTCTCTCTCTCTCCCTCTCCCCCTCTCTCTTTCTCTCTCTTTCTGGGACAATCTTTGCTGGCTCCCTCCTGCCAGGATGGCTGCTCTCCTTCCAAGCCTGTCTCCAACCCCGTCAGAAGTTGGGATGAAACCAGCAGAGTTTCTGATAAACAGCAACAGAGTTGGAAGGNGTCATTAAATCACACATTTTATGACCATTATGACATGCTACCATAATGGAAGGTTCCATTATTGGCCCTATGTTAAGGACCACCTGTAAGCAGACATAAGAGTGGATTAAACTGTCTGCATGCATAGTGTTGGCACTAATGCAGTGCTTTCAATGTGTATGCCCCATTGTGAGTCTGCTTACTCTCTTGCAATCCCTTCCTTTGCTACCTCTCAAATGGGGGGGGGGGACGGACAACAACAGATTAGGCATTGGACAACACATATTACCGTAATGATAATCACATGACTGAGGGAAAGTCATAAATGTTGGCATTAGTTGTAAAGTTATTTTTCAGCATCATTGTAAATGATTGCTTGTTGATAAACAAGGACTACCTGTATTATGCATGTCATTTTTAATAAACATGCCTTTGTTACTGTCAGGTCCAAATCTAAAGGCTAAAAATCGAGATCCAATTGAGTCCAATCCTTTATTTGTTTATATGTAATGGGCAGAATCTAGCCAAACTAAAGTTAAAATCTTGTAGCCTATTGGACATATCCTGAGAGATTCTAGAGTGTGGATATCTTGAATTCTTCCCTCTCTCCCATCCAGTTTCGGGCGGTGCAGTCTCTTAATCTGGATCTGCCTAGACAGTAAAGCTAAGAAGGACCTCTGAAAATTTGTGCTCAATCCTATACTTTGATTTTAGGAAAAGTGTCAAAACAGTTTAGTAAGACCTTTTCCTGAATAGAATTAATGAACAATAACATTAAATATTTCTATTACATTGCAATTGTTTATGTCTTGGTTTTTTGCCAGTTATCTCGACTAGCCACTTGATAAAAATCAGAAGTCGAAGCATACTCATGAATAATAACAATAAGAGAACTACTTCCAACCCATGTCTTCAACCAATTCAATTTCAGTCACTAAAAAAAATGATTTCTTCAACTGATTATTAGTGAAATTCAGGATGATTATGCATTCTGATTATTGGTCAATCTTGCTAGATCTACGCAATTAAAATAGCACAATTATACTGACACAGCTCCTTCTTTCACACTTTCATGAACTTACCACACAGCATGTTTCATTGCATTTGTGTCGTCCGCATGACAATTTTTTGTTGCATCTTTTGTCACATAAAAATGGAACTTTAACTGTTAAAAAAGGAAAATGTTTAAATTATTATTATAAATTGACAGTTATTTAATGTAATTTGAAGTAAACGTTTTACGTTTATTTGATATATTTAGCCACTGCAAAATCTTTATAATCAAAAGGGAAAACAAATAACACTAGTTAACTTCAGAATTCAAGAAGATTTTAAAGAAAAAAAATACTGAAAAGTTGACATTTCAATATATTTAGTTTGTTGCTCATTCAACATATAATAGAAAGAGAAAAGCTAGAAATTGATGAATGGTAATTGCAGGCAATTATTCTGTACCTAAAAATAATCTGTGCATTTCATAAATGTGAAATAATTTTCTTCAGCTTCATGAAAATGTCTGAACTATAATCTTGATGGAAATATGTTAAATATGTTAATTTATAATATATTTATTTCCATCTTCTAATGAATATTCTTCATTTATTACCATATTTTTTGGAGTATAAGACACACCAGAGTATAAGATGCACCAAGGTTTTGAAGAGGCAAATTTTTTAAAAAAGTAGGTAGGTAGATAGAGGAATAGAGAGGGAGAGAAAGAGAAATACAGTAGGTAGGTAGGGAAAGAGAAAGAGTAGTTAGGTAGGTAGGTAGATAAAGGGATAGAGAGAGAGAGAGAAATACAGTAGGTAGGTAGAGAGAGAGAGAGTAGATAGATAGGGAGGGAGATGTTTCCAGGTGTATTTATCCATGTGCTGGAGAAGGAAATCGCTGACAATCTGCAGCATCTTTGTTTCTGCTGGCACAGCACTTGATCAACGTAATTCTCATTAATCAGTTAAAGAGTTTTCCAAAAGGGGGAAAAAACGTTTTCGCACTCTGCAAACCTCCTAAAAACAGCCCGTTTTTTGCAAAAACGGGCCTGTTTTTTTTTTAAAGGCATGAACAGCCTTGGGGGGGGCTTGCAGAGTGCTTCTGGGGGGGCAAAAACGAGCAAAAAACAGCCCGTTTTTCATGAAAACGGGCCCGTTTTTTAATTTAAAAAATGCATGCATAGCTTTATGGAGGCTTATAGAGTGCTGCTAGGGGTTTGGGGGGGGGGGGAAATGCTAGTATATGATGTTAAGATTATTTACCTTGATTTTTGAGAGAGGCACATGGAACTTCCTAAAAAGGAAATTAAATTGTAAATATTTATACTATCATTCTGACGTTTAAGGAAGATAAAGCAGTGTGTTGCCATGTGTACTTCACAATCTTATTGTTTGCAAAGAACAAAAGGTATTCTATACACCAGCTTAGCAGTTGAAAAATTCCCCTTATATTAAAAAAAAATGCTACTGATTCTGCAGGAGGTCAGCAAAGTTTTGGAAACAGGAAAGTATGCATTTTCTTAGCTGAACTGAAATTAAACCCACATCTAGAAATCTGAGAAACAGAAGATTCTATTCGAATAATGATTTACAGATTAAATATGACACATACAGTGGATGTAGAAAGTCTACACCTCTGTTAAAACGCCCGGTTTTCAAGATGTAAAACAAAAATCAGACCAAGATAAGCCACTTCAGAATTGTTCCCACCTTTAATATAATATAGAAGCTGCACAATTCAGTTGAAAAAAACCTGAAATGTTTCAGAGGGAAAAATAACAATAGAAATGAATAATTTGGTTACATGAGTATTCATACCCTCTTGTAAGTAGGCTGTGTTCAGAATCAACCAATCACATTCAAACGGATGGTAAATAGTAGTCAGTACATACCTGCCACCAATGGTAGGATTTTTTCTGACATAGTCTGCAAAGAGCTTACAAAGCATCCAAGGGATCTCATTATCAGAAGATAGCAGATAGGAGAAGGGTACAAAATAATTTCCAAAGGTATTGTATATACCCGTGTTCTGACCCCCCTCTTCCTACACCAAAGCATGCCGAGACAAAGATACTTCAAGGATTTATTAACACAGACTAGACCTTGGCAGCAATCCAGCACAGACCAGACCTTGGCAGCAATCCAGCNTTTCCCATGTAAGATTTATACACACACACACACACTCGCACACATATATACAAACATACATACAAGCACACACACACACACACACACACACATGTATATGCATACCTAGACCTAACCGTAGTAGAAAATTGGTCCTATAAAAACAGTAATTCTGTAAATCTCATACAAGTATACTTATAAATAACTTTAAAGAAATCATGAAATCATTACCTTGCTTTATAGTCAATTCACATGGCAGGCATTTTCCTGAATGGCATATCTGGGTACAGTTATGCTTACCACAATTCAAAACATTCCCACATATATTAGTACACTGAATTGCAGTAGAATACCCACAGCGAACTGAATGGCTGTAGAAGAAGGAAACTAAATCAGTAATCAGCAATGAAGGATCAAATTCTATATTCACACTTGCTTTACTCAAAAGTTGTTTGTTTTTTTTTTTGCACAAAGCTATTGATTAGCAGGCATGAGACTTCCTGAAAACTTTAGTATTTCTTTAAGGAGGGGCATAATTTCATAATATTGCAAACTATAGGGAATTTTATTTAAACAGAAAAATTCTTTCCACACAATAGGATCAACGTTTTAAACCTAACATTTTTGTGCCACTGGAAAGCTCAAACCCATTCTTTACAATTATACGGTTGTAGCTACACATAGCATTTTATTCCAAAATGTAAGTTAAAATTAGCAGTTTCAAGAAAGGTAACTGTATTTATCTGCTGTTGCAAAAGCCAGTCTTTTAGCACCTTAAAATAAAAACTAAACCAAACCATTCCCGCAATGAACTTTGGTTCATGAAAAACTTTATAAAATATGAACTTTATAAAATCTAAGCTTTAACTATTTTTAATTAGTAATTTGGTTTTGGGAAAACATTTATCTCCTCCCTTTCAGGTGCAGATTTTTCATTAAGCTCAGCTTAACTGTGTGTCCATATGCCAATATAACAAAAAATACAGAATAAAGGCAAAAATATCTAAATTTATCCCCTTTATTTTGTAGATCATTTATTATTTTTTTTAAAAATAGTATTATAAAATCCTCACTAATAATAGCCTGGATAGCAAGATGTAATGGTTGGGTTTACAGAACCTAAGCAATAAATTATTGCTTATAAATTATGGTTTATAAATCACAATGGCTGAGTTCACATATCATAGTAAGTCAAAATCTAACAAAATAGTTTACCCATCGCATCTGAATTCAAATTTCATCTCATCTAGAACTGGGCATCATAATGCTAAATCTTATACATTATACTGTTTACACATTAGGATAATATAACATTAGGAATCTGTATATTGCCTTACAATATTAGCCATTCATTAGTTTTCTTAGTTTGAATGAAAGGACATGGGTTTTAACTCCAAAAGTGTTTTAAGAACAATAATTTAATTTAATTTAAAAATAGGATTGTCAAATTTTGGCATTCTCAATCTCAACAGCATGCGAAAAAACCGTAATGATAAATTCATAAATTACCCTTCACTTCTTTAGCTGGATCAAAATTATTTCTAAACGCTAAACTCTTCTGTAACATTTTTATTTTAGGGGAATTTTTATTTTATGGAATCGATACAGCGGGAGCACAATTAATCCTGGGAACTACTTGTAGCGTAGATCACAAAAGATCATGTTATTGCTAGGAAATCAAAGATACCATCTTTTTTCTCATATATTTTTTGCTGTAAACCTTCAATATCATTCATTGCATCTACAGAAAATATAAAGAAACATTTAACTCCATGTCCTAAATGTTAATTCCTTTCCCACGATTTTTTTTTTCCTAGCAGCACTATTCCAATTTTGGTAACAGATTGACTGTCATTAAAAAGCATTGGCTGAACCCCAAATGCGGGAGGGCACTATACAAGCATATTCTAACTACGCATGTTCATATGTTGTCTAGGAGACTAGAAAGAACAAGCCAATTCCCCAAGAATAGATATGTTATACTTAACATTTGTAATATTCCAAATAATTTTTTTTTTTTAAAAAACACCCAAGGTTGTAAGTTTTCTAATGCAGACTAAATTACCTTGTACGTCCACATTCACATTTTTTGGTCATAAAAGCAGGGCACGATGGGCAAGGTCCTGGATGACAAAGACTAAGAAACAAATAAAAGACATGCAGTATTTGTATTTCATTTTTACCCATCTGTGCTAACATATATTCCTATATAATTAACATATTATTATTATTTGAATGTATTTCTGATTTAGAACCAACACGTGTTAATTCTGTACAAGTATAAATTCTGCGTATTATGAAGAATGAACTATTAACATTTGTATTAATACAGTAAACTTGTTCTTATAAAAACCTAGCTTAGCATGCCAGCTGCTAGCTACCTATTTATGTATACATTTTATGCATAAATATACACAATTTACATAGATTTTCTGATTCTTTGTCTAGACTCATATATTCAAGAAATTATGCAATTTCAGAAAGAACTACAATGTACAAAAGATAGAGATGGACAGATGAAAAATAAGTAGGTAGCAACTGACATGCTAAGCTAGGTTATTATAAGAACAAATTTATTGTATTAACTCAAATCTTGTGCCCAACTAATAAAATGACTGCAGTGTCCCATATTATCTAAAACCCATATTCAAGCTGTATATAAATATTTTTCAAAAAAAAAAAAAGGTATCAGCAGACTTACATATTACATAAATGTGGACAATCTTGAGCTGTTCTTTTCTTTCTACACAATTCTCCACAACTATGTGGTATTTCATTTCTATTCCATTCAGGATTTTTTACCCGGCCTAGGAAGAACCCAGAAATATTTATTTATAACATTTAAATGTTATGCTTTCCACAAGAAACAAATCACTATGTATATCCACAAACTGGCTTTACACAATATAGAAAGCTATAATGTGAACTGTAAGACATATTTAATGTACTATATGAATACACTCAAGCCTTTAATACAATAGACTGAACTCATATTGTATAGTCAAGTTTAGTTTAGTTTATTATTATTAGACTTATATGTCGCCCTATTCCCGGAGGGACTCAGTTCCTAGAGATACCTTTTATCATTATCTTTCCTTCTCTATTTCTATTATTCAATGTTTACTTTATATACATTTCCATTCAATGATGGGAAACAGAAATAATTGTACTTGTAGCTACATTGTATGTCACCATGGCTATATAAATATGATAAATTAAATAAATAAATTCAGCTTTCTGTTATTCTAACAAGTTTAACCTATAGTATGCATCCTTTTTTCCCCATTAGAGACCTTTAAAAATATACACCTCAGTTTTTAAAGGACTAAAACAGATTCATAACTATTAGTATCTTACTAGGAGTCTTAAATCTATCTAATGTTATTCAACATGCACTTTAAAACATGGAACTGAATGTTTCCATAGTGATAAGCTATACAGCAATGAAAAACACGACAGCGTCTCCATTATGTAAGGCAGGTATATTTTATAAAGACTGTTACCAATACTGGCAAATGAAAACTGCAGGTAGTCCTTGACTTATAACCAAAATTTATTTTGCTAAGTAAGTTTTGCTCCACTTTCTTGCAACAATTGTTAAGTGAATCCCTGCAGTTGAAAAGTTTGTAACATGATTGTTAAGTGAATCTGACTTCACCATTGACTTTGCTTGTCGGAAGGTTGCAAAAGGTGATCAAATGACCATGGGACCCAGCAACGGTCATAAACATGAACCAGTTGCCAAGTATCTGGATTTTGATCACGTGACCATGGGGGTGCTGCAGTTGTTGTGTGAAAAATGGTCATGTGACTTTTTTCAGGGCCATTGACTTCGAAAGGTCATTAAATAGCTTAGCTGTACTAGTAGTCCTTAAATTATGATCACAATTGTGACTTCAATTTCCATTGTAAGTTGTTGCAGTAGTAAATCGAACCAGACCTGGTTTTAGGGCAATGTTTGGGGTGATCATTAAAGAGTTCACATTGTTGTTAAATGGGTGCCTTTTGCTGCAAAGTGGCAAAAAGTTGCAAATTCCAATCACATGACCAAAGGATGCTGAAACCATACAGGAGAACTGGTTTCCTAGTAATTCCTAATTTAATGGGTTTATATGCCGCCCAATCCCAGGGGGACTCAGGGCGGCTTACAAATACGAATGAAATAAAAAAAATAACATAACAGGGGGAGAATACAAACATTAACGAACAGTTTAAAAACCCAACATACATCCGGTTTAATTGGGGGTTGTACCTGATTTGAATCAGCAACCCCAGGCCTGCCGGAACAGCCAGGTTTTTGGTGGCTTTTTGGAAGGCCACAAGGGTGGGGAGGGTCCGGATCTCTGCTGATAACTCATTCCACAGAGCCGGAGCAGCTACAGAAAAGGCCCTCCCCTGAGTGGTCGCCAGGCATTGTCCGGCCGACGGCACCCGGAGGAGGCCTAACCTGTGAGTTCTTATCGGNAATTAACCACGTTTATATGCCGCCCAATCCCGAAGGACTCCGAAAAGAACTATGGGGCAGTATATAAACGCTATTGCTCTTACAACAGTCTTTGATGCTATGGCTGGTTTTATTGACTATTTTCATTGGTCAATAACCAAAATAAAGTTTCTATTTATTTTTATCAATTATCAAGATACAAAAATACAAGAGACATCTTAATTTAGCAAACCCCTAATTAAGAACCTTAAGCTGCAACATTTTCATTTAGTTATCGCCCCAAAACAGCTACATTGAATACAATGTAGTTCAGATAAAGAGCTTAAAAATAAAGTGAAACTTAGCTGACAATTATCTTATTTGTGGCAATTTGTATAATATGTGAAATAGTATCAAGAGAAATTATGCAAATTGTCATAATGATGTAATTTTAAATTTAGAAAATTTGGAAAAAAATGGGATGCTCTTTTTCCCTAAATGATCCATTCAATATACATACACATAGCCTTTTGGATCAAATTGTTTAAACAGTGTTGCAATGAATAATTGGAAAAGCAATTAATGTCTCACAAATATATTGGAGATTTTACAAGACAAGATTAATCATGTACAGGAAACAGGCATAGCATGTTTTATTACCTGTAAGGTTTTCACTTTCAACATTTTGCTTTTTTATTATTACCTTTAATTTTAAGGCACATCTGCAGTAGATCTTTGATGTGCGAGAACACTGCCCACATTCACCTTCATGGCAGAGATTTTCACATGTATGCACAGCATCTATGTAAAATTTGAGAAGTATTCCTCACGTAAGTTTTTGTGCACTAGGATATTCCACCTGTGATTTTTATTACTAATCGACAGTCACAATGAAGTCGATTTAAACTTTAAAAAAACAAACATAAACAAATGCATTGCTTTCAGAAAAAAATCTTGAAATGCAGTTTTTTAAATTATGTATACAGATAGCTAATATATCTATTAGATTTTTTACAACCCCTGGTAAGCCCCAATTATGGGAGGAAGCTAACTGCTTCCATCATCTGTCTATCGGCTCGTCACAAGAGTCCATCACAACAGAAACCCAATATTTTTACTGTTGCCTTTGTTATATTTGTGTTTTTTTATTTGTGCTGATAAATAAGCAGTTAGCTTCCTCCCATAATTGGGGCTTACCAGGGGGTTGTAAAAAATCTAATAGATACC